TCTCGGAGTATTTGGTTATACCAGTCACACTGAGGTGTGCTCTGACTAGGGATGATAGCACCAGATGAGTTACACAGATGGCTTCCTTAAAAGACGGATGATAGTTTTCTCTTTCTCAATACTAGCTGTCCAAAGTATGCGTGTGGCACAATTTTGTACACAAATAAATATGTAATCCTCTCTTTTCATTACCTTGTATGTGTTCGTACTCCAAAAATATATAGCCCTTTTTGAGAGCAGTATGTTTACAGCATAAGAAACAAAATCTGGAAAGCAGAGAAAAGAGCAGTACTTTAACTCACTTGATAGGAATATGGTGTGACAGGAGGGATGAATAATCAAAGATACAGTTGATAGTTTACTGTTAAAATAAATTAACCAATCCACTGACAAAAAGTCTTGCCTACCGTACTTTATAGATACAGCTCTGATATATTTTGATCACAAACAGTTTCAAAAGAGGATCACTCTGCCAGCTGGGCTGTTCTTAAACAAAACCTCTATGTTTTGATCCAGGAAACATCAATCATCATGTCTCCAAAACCATTACCATTTATTGAGCACCCATTAATATGCTCAATGCTAAATAAAGCAAAGGAACATGCTGTCCTTATCCACATTTCTGATCATCCGTCCTTTATTTTTGAAGTCAGTTTGGCTCTGCATAAACTCAAACATCTAAAGTAAACAAAGACAGAAATATTTTGGTGACTATGTACTACACTGCTATACTTTTTGCATACTTGTTTTATCTTTCACATTCTGTAAATATAAAATAACTGCATTCCAAGTGCAGGGAAAAGAACTGAAATTGAGACTCTGCTGGACAAACATGCTTGAAAAAGGAGTTAGGCTGCAGTGGGGCCACGAATTCTGGCGTGCTTCAGTAAAGTGAGGACAGAAACCTGAGCAGCTGCAGAGTTGCTGCAGAGAGCTCAGAATGAGAAGAATATCTTTGCCATGGCATAGATAAAAAAATACAAGGAATTGCTAGAACAGAGGATCTGGCACAAGCAGTGGGATAAACGAGGATTCAAACATCAGCACTGATTATAGGATATGTTGCCTGCACATAGGAGAACATTTAGATATATGCCATGTTTGGTATCTCTGATCCATTGAGAAGACTGAAAATCATTTCTTGTTTAACTTTGAAAAAAAAAGAAAAAAGCCCCGTATCTGAACAACTTCAAAGATCATACTATTGTTGAAATATTGGTTGAATTTTGATCATGTAAAAAATTGGTGTAATTCAGCCTTTTAAAAAAGGTATGAATAACTATCAGCTGGATGCTCTTACAGTTCTACCTACCTACTGTATTAGAGAAGAAATAAAGCTGATGTTCATAAAGACAATGATAAAATTTCCTTCACTTAATAGGCAACTCTCTGATTACTGGCCACTGGAGTATTAGGTTGAATTGCATCACTGATGAATAGCCAAGGGACTCAGTTAACAAAAATCAGTGCTTTTAAAGTCTTTAATGATTAGAAAAAAATGAATGAAAGCATTTGTCAAGATTATGATTGTCATTAGAAAATGCTAATTACATATTAGTTTAATAATCGCCACATGATCATTTACCAAAATTATTAAATTTTTTTACTTACTTGGAAGAATTAACTTTTTCCTTTTACTTTTTTTTAAAGTGTTCTCAACAGTGCTTTTAGAAGCTAAGAATTTTAAGATTACACAGCTTCTGAAGCTGGGCAGCCACTGTTGGAAAGATCTGATCTAAGTTTATTGCCAACCCATCTTATTTCACTCACTTAAAGATATATATTATCACCCTCTTAAGGAAAGTTACAGCAGAATAGAATTCATAAAGCATAGGTAACTCGCCCACAAAAACAGCTCTACAATTACAAAGTAAACTCCAACAAAAAGCTATTTGTTAATTAATGTTAATACATGCTAAGTAAGTCACTTCTCAATATTGAGCTGAGATCTCACCTAAAACATAAAGGTATTAGGCAAGTATCAAACATATCTAGAAGAGCCGTGTCATCTGGACAGTACAACAGAAGAATATATCACTAGTATTACAATAAGACTGCTTACTTTTGATAACAAAAATACACTTCTATTTTTATGCACAGCAGTGTTATACCAATTCTACAGCTCAAGTTGTATCAGCAGCCACTAACTTGACCACAGCAATAACAGAAAAAGCAGGAGTGCTTTTCATGTGCTAAAGTGAACTCAAATGGAATTTCTTTCAGCCAGTGATAATTTTTACCATTCCGATCAAAAATAACACCCATATGGTAAGCATATTCTTTTGCCCACCTGCAAGTACAAACACTCCCAAAAGAACAGTTTTCCTATTCTCAGTTTAAGGTTTACATTTTAAACAACTAGTAGTAGCTCAAATAACACACTTTCTTTTAAGGGGAAAGCATAATTAAACTATGTCCAACATTACAGCTTTAAAACATACAACCAGAATAAAACCCGAAAACTATAGAAAATATTTCATTTGTTATTTCTCATCTGAGATCAACATTCTGACTTGGAACAGATCCTTCTGACAAAGTGGCACATTTCTGCATTATTGACCTTAAGAAAACTTTAATTAAATTTAGCAATGAAATAATATTACACCACTACTCTTGTTATCCTTAGTAGTCCCTTCTCAATATGGGGGAAATTTGGCAAGAGGACAATAATTTTACTTGACCTTTGCAAAGAAATAACTAAGGTTGACTACTTTACATGCATGCTAATTCAAATCACAGTGCAAAAGCACAAATGGATGCCTCTGACTGATTTCCATAGCTGCTATAGCAGAGGGATGAGGTAAGCTTCAGAAGAAAGCAGACATGCTACTGCCAAAGTCTGGTGCACTCAAGTCTGTACAATTTGCTTAATCTCTTCCACCGAAGGCAGTATAACTTATTCCTGATCAGACTCACTGGTAGAGAAAGAATTATGGAGAGGAAGAGGCAAAGTTCAGGAGACCCTTCTTGGGAATAGTTCTTCAAACTTCATCTTGAGGGACAATTATTTTGATTTCTTTGAATTCAAAGAAAAAAAAAAAACCACGAACAAGGGATTGGTCCTCTGAATAGCTTCTCAAGTGAAATGCAACTATATGTGGACAGAGTGCAAAACCTCTTAACACTGGCTAGATTTAATCAGGGACAAAAGAGGAACATCATGTCCAGATGAGAAACCACTTTACGACTTCAGCATAGGAATGTGGAAACCTTCACATATACATCACACTGCTTTGAATCTTGGCCAGGTCAGTGGTTACTCAGGAGTGCAAGTTGTTCCTGTGATATCAGTCGGCAGTTCTGTTTGACTAGTTTACAGTATCGCCATACTTGACACTCTTGTTGGCAGTTTTAGTCTAAGGAGTGAATGGGGATGTAAATTGAACTACTCGTGTCTAAAGGTGGTAGCTACAGATCAAAATTAAGACATTAGCAGGGCCACATGAGGATCCTGCACTACTTTCTACTGTACTTGGTCTGTGGAATAGAGGTATTAAGTCTCTGTGGCTGTCAATCTGGCTCTTTTCATGAGTACTAAATTCATCTAAATAAATAAATTTATTTGTTTCAGCTTGTCATGGGGTAAGATCTGTTTTATTGCCGCAATTTTTGCTGTAATATGTACAAATCAATCACAAAAGTCTCTATGATGCAATCCCTTTATAAATCCGTTAGCTATGTAGCTTCTACCAAAGAAGCCTTAGATGCTGTGACAGTGATACTAAACCTACATCAAAAAAATGATCTTTAAAAAAACATAACTGCAATGCTTTGCTTTCAGGGAATTTTTATAAAGCTCACATTCCAGAACCAGGCACACACAGAGAGCATTTAACCAAATTCCATGCTAAAATACATTTCAGACCTCAAAAGTTAGTTAAATATATTTACTTCCTGAAAACCAATCTCAACCCTATTTTTCTGTTATCCATAGTGACTGTTCCCATTTTTTCTTTTACAAACTCTTTTGAAGAAAAAAACCCCCACATTTCTATAACTACTATGTTAATTTGATCTGTACATTTTTAAAGGAACATTCATTTTCCTAAGGGCACAATCAGTGCAGTCACTGATTGTAGCGAATAAATACTGCTTGGATTTGTATTATGGTGATGTATTTTACAGCTATCTGTTTATATATTACCATTGAAAGACTATGTTTATTCTTAAAGCAAGAAAACTAAATGTTGAGCAACCTGTTTTAGAGAAGAGAATATAAAACTGAAAGATTTATTCTGGAAGAACAATTATGGTCAGGATATGTGCTAGCATCCGAATAACATTAAGTTGGAGCAGTAATGCTACATTTTTCAGGAACACATTTCCAAGTAAACCTAATGTTATCCCTTCATCTTCTACCAGTGCTTTCATAGACATGGAAGGGATGGAGATTCAGAGAATTAACACAGATTTCCAGCTCTATGTCAGCTTAGAAGGGATTCCTTTGCCTTCAGCACGCTGAAGAACACTGGAGAAAAGACATCAATAGATTCATTAAACTTTTTCCTATATCCTAGAAGACCTCACATGCTCAACAACAGTTGAGGCTACTGCTGATGCAGTAAGGAAATAAAGATGGTCAGGTTATTAAACTTTGTCATGTTTTCTATAAAAAGCAGTTTCAGAAGCAGCAGAACCAACAGCCTCATTAGTAAATAGTTGCATGCACTCCTAACATGGCTCCTATCATGGCAGTGAGTAACATCTAAAACCACTCTTTGGCATCATCATTAATGGAACATTCCTTGTAAAATGACAGCAGGTGGCAAAGCTTATTTTTAGCTGAGAGAGGGAGAAGACACATGTAGGCAGGCAGCCATCAACAGCACAGTCACCAGCACACTATTTCCAGAACAAAAATGGGATTGCACACCTTATTAAAACACTATTTATTTTATGACCAGCAGGTCAAGGGAGGTGATTCTACTCCTCTACTCTGCCTTTGTGACATCCCACCCAGAGTACTGTGTCCAGCTCTGGGGCCCTCAGCACAAGAAAGGCCTGTTAGAACAGGTCCAGAAGAGGCCATGGAGATGAGCAGAGGCATGGAGCACCTCTCCTATGAAGACAGGTTGAGATCTGGGATTGTTCAGCCTAGAGAAGAGATGGTCCTGGGGAGACCTCATTGCAGCCTTTCAGTTCTTGACGGGGGCTTATAAAAAGAGGAAGAACAACTTTTTTCATGGGCAGATAGAGACAGGACAAAGGGGAATTTTTTAAACCAAACCAGGAGATATTTTTATTAAATATTAGGAAGAAATTCTTTACTCAAAGGATTGTGAGGCACTGGAATGGATTGCCCAGGGAAGTTGTGGATGGCCCATTCCTGGAAGTGTTCAAAGCCAGACTGCATGGGGCTCTGAGCAACACAGTCTAGCGGAAGGTGTTCTGTGCATGGCAGCGAGGGGTGGAACTAGATGATCTTGAAGGCCCCTTCCAACCCAACCCATTCTATTATTCTATGTATAAAGGATAGCAGCAAGGAAGAGTCAACAAAACAACCTCTGTAGAAATACATACTTTCTCTCCCCTTCCTCCAACACAGCAGGAAAAATTAATTCCCTAGCAGGACCTCACATGAGGAACCAGGCAATGCTTTGCAGATCACACATTCCCACTCTTAAACTCTTCCCTTACATTCCTGCACTTCCTTGGTCCCAGGACTAACCTCTCTTCCTGTTCTCTTCTACAATCTGAGACTTTGCTACTGCCTGTAGCCATCATAATGTCAAGCCCAAGCCAACATGGCTTTTTCCACCCAGGACCATATCGCCTTGGGGAACAGCAAAGGGCCCAAGCCTTCCCCGCATAGAAATAACAAGGATTATTCCTTTGTTGCTGGCAAAGCATGGCACCAAGCCCATACTCACACCTCACTACTCAATAACCACTGAGAAATTAGATGAAGTTACAGAGGCTTGTGCCCAATCTAAGTCCTAGGGTTATGTCAAGTATATTTCTGTTATAATGAAGAACTAATGTTTTCATGAAAAAAAAAGAAAGAAAAAAAAGGAAAATTAATAGAAGATTCTCACACAATCACCTGAAATATGGTGCTGAGGCTAAAGGTAAATATTAATTACCATGTAATTTACAGCTAAATGTGAGAGCTGGTGATACTGGAAAAGAGTCAGACAATCTGCAGAGCAGTGGCTCTGCAACTGGATGCTTTGGGCAAGCAGCAGCCCAGTGTTCAAGAAAATACAAATTCAGAGGAGCTGAGAGTTCGAGTAGATTTTCCCCATTGTGGAATTTCTAAAACAAAACAGCATCCCCCATATAAATCCAAAGCATACCATTCCCTATCCCCCCAAAAAAAGAACCCTGAAGTTTCCAGAGCATAAGTAAAGCCAGCTGTGGTGATAGTTCTGCTGTGATATTCTGATAAAATTTCAACTGTGTTTCCTCATCATCAAAACCCATCAGAAGTACTATGGGTCTTGTATGATTACATTTTCCCTCCCTAGAATTCCTAATGTCTTAATGTCATTGATATAATTAAGAAAAAAATTTATAAAGAAAATGTAGAAGAAAAAAAAAAGGAGAAAAAGAGTGAGAGACCCTACAGATGGCAAAGAAAACTTAAAAAAAACATTTTATAAAAGTATTGCTTTTTGGTCCTCTGGAGTTCATTTACAGGACAGTCTATGTAGCGTGAATGTTGCCTTCTCCTCCGTCTTGTCTCCAGTCCTTTCAGATTTTCTTGCCTGCCTATCAAAAGTGTCATCTTTAATTCAGGTGGGTATACTGATTTTAAGTACAATGCCAGTAAAGGACACTACAAGTAATGGTACTCAGTATGTGTTAAATCATCTCTGAAGTTGTGCAACCCTCCTATCTGTTACTCATACTGCTTTATGCTCCTTCAGAGCAGGAATTTTTCAATTATTGTGTGTTTGCATTATGAAAACCCTATTTCATTTGGTGTAGAAACAACTTTTTGGTGTTTGCTACTAACGTAAGTTAACCTGCTTAGGCATCCATGATCACAAATTCAGTTAAAACCAACCAAACAAATGAACAAACACCTCCTGACAGAAAATGAGGTGTAAGGAAGAACTCCTTTGGCAGTTCTAACACTCTTCTGGATTTGAAAAATACATCAATTTGATTTGTGAGAATCCTGTTTTGAACTGTGGCCTGATCCCATTCCACCGATATATTACCAAGAGACAAAACCCCATGCTTAATATGTTGTTTAAAAATTAAGAGTCAGGAATGATTAGAACACAGTTAAAATATCTTCAGTCTGTTTTCCCCTCTGAAATAAATAGATGAATTTGAGAATCAAAAGTTAAAGAAAGAAGTGTAAAACACAATTATACTGTAACATAAATACATTACACTCCAGAGATATCAAAACATCAACAGCAGTATTAAATCTGCCCTGAAGTAAAGAGGTATGAAGCAATTCATTAAAATAGAAGAAGAAAACTAGCTCATTCTGCAGCTAACAATAACCATTTTTTTTTCAGGAAAAATCTAACAGTGTACAGCTTTATCCTGACTTACTTTATATGCCAATGCAGAACATGGCAGATTCGTCTTCAGATGCTTTCTCTCTATTTGGGGAATGGGAAACCAGCAGCAGAAGTTGAAGATTCAGTAGCATTTTCTCCCCCTTTCCTGATCACTCTTAACTGTTAGATTACTGTGCATGATCAGCCAAATGAGATATATTGTAGAAGTAGTCTACAATGAAAACTGGAACCAAACCTAACAACAGACTGTAGAAAAATTTAACTTTAAAAGCAACAGTATGTAAATATTGTCTTATCTGGTATCCTTAATGGACATTACTGAGATAAGTGGTAGCTAGGTCTTTCCACTCAGTCAAAAGATAGATAAATACTGGAGTAGCTGCAGGTCCTGATGCAAAATCTGGGCTTTGTATTTTCTTTTTTTAAATCAAGTAGTAACAAATTTTTTTTCACCTAATTTTTTTTCTTTTTTTAAAATTGAACATAGGTGCTGCTGATATTTATGAAGTACCCCTCACTGGGAGAGTTCTGTGCCAGAATAAGGCACAAATAAAACGCAATAAAAGAAAAATTTAAAAAGTTTCAAATTACTAGTACAATTAAATTAATAAAATCTAAGTATTTCAAATGTATGGGGTATTGTTAGGGAGCTGAAACATAACTGTAAAGAGACCTACCTAGGCCAAAATTTCATCAGTTTAGAACGAGCGGAAGCAGAAGCACATCCAATGCCTGCTGTAGACATCTACCTACTCAAATCCTCTTGGTCATAATGTCTTCAAAATCATATTTAAAATGAGGCTGAGTCGTAACATAAGCCCTCCACGTGATTTTGACCTGTGTGCAAATGTTACTGCTTGTAGCATCAAACCCACTAATAACAATAAGCATAGGTTAGCGATCTAGGTTGGTTCTCACTGCAAAAACATAACTTGGCCTACGCCTCTAAATCTAGCTCTCGTCCACACAGAGAATAAATCCCATCATTTAATAGACAAAGGTGAGAATGGTTACAACTGAAAGCAGGAGTATTTATCAGTTGCTAATGGAATGACTGTGAGGTGCGCTACTGCAATTCAGAAGCCACCAGTCTTCCAATACTTTTCTACAATTTTCCTTGGGGTTAGTTTTCTTACACTGCAAAAGAAATAAACATGCAGCAAACATTTTGCGGGTGCACTTCTGAGAAGTATTTAAAGAGTCTGTGACAAACCATGTAAAAAAAATCCTTTTGGTGACAGGTGCATTAGGGTACTTCAGCTTAGCTCAGCTGTTGTTAGCAACGCAGAAGGAAGCACAGGGACTGCAAGTAAAAGAGTTGAGCTCAGAGAGACCTTATTTCTCACTCAGGCTAGGGCTAATTTCAGGGCATAACAGAAACATAGCTACCCTTGCAGATCACATTTTTGACTGGGCCTTAAAATTATCTCAGTTCTTGTCAACGGATTATTTTGCAGTGTAAAATAAATAAATAAATAGGAATCCCAAGTGATACCTTCTATTCTAATGGAAGTATTACACTGGTTATTCATGATGAATCTAACCTAATCAGGGTACATTATAATCCAGCCGTAGTGACTATTCAATTTCTAAAGGTGGGGGACCTTACACCACCTCAGAAGCACTTTCCTGTGGCAGTTCACTACTTTGCCATTACTGAAACAGTTAAATGCAACCCATCCTGACTATAGAATGGATCCCCTAGCATGAAACGTACTATAAATACCAGGTTGTCACTGTCCACTCCATAGGTTTCCATGAGCTAGGCCACGCAGGACATGGCTGCTTCCTACAAGTTACCATGCTATGCCCAATTGCCTGTTTCAGTTACAATCACATTAGCGCTTCCTGCACTAGAACCCTTAATCATTGCTATGCCCACGCATTGTAAATGAGTTACAATTTTACAATACTTTGCTTCTAGTAAGATCATCGCCTTCCCAGTGTTGTTCCTGACCACATTAATACACAATGAAAACCGTGTTGTTATCCTTTGCTCCCCTGGGACCACAGAGAGACTACCAAATATTAAGTGATCCCCAAACAAATTTGGAATTTCTCACTTGAATTCCTTATGGTTTTACTAAACTTCTTCTGGTCTGCCAGTGTTCCAGCCTCCATTTATGCAGAGAACAATATAATTAAAAAGAAAAAGAAAAACAAACACCACACAACAATCCTTCTTCTCCCTTGCTATGCCCAAATCATGTCTATATAATTTAAATCTGTATGTTCATTCCCAAGTCAGACAGAAAATAATTAGAACTAAACTAACACTAAACATATATATTTGGGGTTTAGTCATGGATGTGCAGCACAAGCATGTTCCCTGAGACAGAATTGCAAGGCAGATAGCGAATCAATCAAGTGTCTGTTGCACAATACCTTCAGCTATCTCCTATTACACTGACCACAACAAGGTACTCAGAAATTCATCAGTGAAAGTGTAAAAATAGAACAGGGAAGCACTTTCTCATTAAAACATAATTGAATAACAGATTCTTCCAGATTTTTCAAATCATTTTAGTTGTTATATTTGTACAAAGTCATGAAAAAACAGATTCTTCATAACAGCTTGCAAGATGTCTACAGATTTATATATTGGATAATTAAAAAAGAGGGCATGATTTCATGAGCGAAGCATGTTGCACGCACCCAAGAAAATGTTTATTTGTCAGACAGTTTGGGTTGTTTACATGAACAATAAACATCTAATTCATAAGTATTATACTTGGGTTTTGTGGTGGTTTTTTTAACAGATGCACTTTTAAACTTGTATAGATAACATTAATTTTATCTGCTTGCAAAGAGATTTGACTGCTGAAGTAAAATATATGAACTTTTCTTACACAGACCCAGATGAATCTCTGTCTCTGTTTTCTTCTCCTCATGGATATTTTTTGTCTACTTTGATACATCAGTGGTCTTTAAAATAGCTGTTCTAATCATTATCTAAATCGACAGAAAAGGCACCAAATACATCAGAAATAAAAAAAGTTAAATTAAAAATACATAAACGCAAAGCTTAAGACAATAAAGTAATCTGCTCGATATTTAAAGGTCATCTAGAAAAGAGATAACTCTGTTCCCTGTTTGCAGTAAAAATAGAGTCCAATTTATGCAAAATTGATCAAGCAATTTCTTTCTTCGTATTTAAACATTTCTACGAGGAGATCAAAAAGGCTGTGCTGGCCAGGTTGCTGACCAGGAAGAGGAATGGCAGAAGGGACAAGGGAGTGACTTTTAATTTCATTAACCCCGAAATTCTAAATAATTTGCCATTTTCCTTTCAGAAGAGTACACGGCAGGTAAGTGACAGAATGCAGGTGTGGGCGTCCGTCATAATAAAGGCAGTTTGGTTGAGCGCAGTGGAGCGGCGGCGAACCTCAGTGAGAGATTACACACGCACCTATTGGCAGAACATGGCAAGGGAGAATGTCAGATTTCAGATTCGCCAGACATCTACAGCAACTGATGCCTTGTAGTCAAAGGCTGTTAAATTACCTGTGAAGGTTACTGGCAGCCCTGAATGTTTTTCTCATTGTTTATTTAGTTCCAAAAGCTCTTGGTCTTTGTGCTGATTGCCCTAACTGACAGCCCAGGAAATCTGGACTTTGTAAACAGGGCACTGCTGTATTGAATTACAGGTAACAAGTGTGTAATCAACCTGCTGGGGCTGGACCTTTGCAAAGAAATCTTCGGTATACAGACAGAAAAAATAGGTTTCAATACTGGGGAATCAATTACATGAGCAGATGAGTATAAAAAGAGATCAATTCAAATCCTTTGTGCTTATTTACTACAGCATATTTAGAAAAAGGAGAGACCCTGCCATAGCAGAAAGGTAATTAAGCACTTATTTCATGGTTGCAGTAATACTATAGAAATTAAAGGTGAATATGATTTGAAGTGCCCTCATTATAATCCATAAAACCATACTAGTTAAACAGTCCTTAGCTGCAACATGCTTTATACAAAATAAAGAAAAAGCAGGTTCATGTTCTTAAAGGAGAGTTTCTGTACTCAAATTACATAAACTGGAAAAAAAGACCAACCCAAAATGAAGCAGTTATTTTTGATCTTCTAAAAGCTAAAGAGAACCTCTATAAAGCAGGGATCTAGTGAAATCCTTGTGATATTTCTGCATACCAAAATAACATAATAAAGTTCAACAACTACCCCCCTGACCATAGATTTATATAAGATATTTAAACTGTAATTGTTAATTAAAAAGCATAAATAAAAATCTAGTGGCAATCAGTCAACAGAATAACCCTATGCCAGATAATATTGAGTCACTGAGTAGTACATGAGAGGAAATTTTTTTTTCCCTGGTGTTTTTTGTTTTGTTTTGTTTTTTTTTTTAAATCATCAAGATAGGCGAGTTCTCTCTGTGTCTGTGGCCACCACGGGCAATAACATTCACTAAATAAAGAAAACCTTAACAACAAAGATTTCAAAATATAAGCATCAGATAGTATTTCCTATCTGAACATCATTTATTAAAACAGATACTGTATGCTATAGTCTTATTATGCCCCAAAGACTTGTTTTTGCAGTTGGAAATTACAAGAAAAACAAGGTTTCATTAATGTACTCACTGATGATGATAATTTTAGACTACTTGCACTATTGGAACTTATGCTTTGTTAAAGCAACTGAACTTACAATCTCTAAATTTTATTCACTCTAGGGAAGCAGTTCTCTACTTTGGCACCCACAATTTCTTTTACGTGCTTGAAAAACATGTTATAAAATTTACTTTTATTTCTGTTTGCTCATCTATCAGTATTTATGTACCAATATGTCTCTAAAAATTGAAGTCCCTGACTCACTTGTAAGCGGAAGGTTATTTTTTGCAAATATACAACAATATGTGAAATGCAACCTATGGCATGGAAGAAGAGCTGATGACAACTGACCAGGAATGATGGAAGCACTAGAGCATTTCCTATCAGTACTCTCCACCTGACTCAAGTTCTAGGCTCTAACAGATATTTCTGACAGTTTCAGCAAACTTTATTCAAGACTACTAAAAAAGTTTTGGTCAAGAGAGAAAACCAGTTAACTTCTAATGACTGTCTATTAACAGATATGCAAACTGCTGGACATACCCTCCCTTCCTAACTAATATTCCTGTAAATACCTGCATTTTTTATACATACCAAGATTTTCAGGAGAAGAATAACATCCTTTCCCAAGTCAACAGAAACAGCTGGTAAAGGATTTTTTAAATCTGACTCACAACAACAATAGCTTGTGACAGTGAGAAACACTGCTTCAGTGTTGCACTGTGTAAAACCACACACGTTTCTGTCCATTTCAAATGTACCATCTTTAGATGGTATTGGAGATCTGTCTGTTCTTGTCTCATGAAACATGTTGACAGAAACATGATTTCACATTTTTCTACTGCTCTTTTAAATACTCTCTTTGAGATTTTCACTTCCCTTTTGCTTTTCAACACACTTCATATAGTTATGATGATGAAAAACTCATTAGTATTGAAACTAAAGTTCCTATCATGTAAATATTAGTACATGTGTTTAAAGTCTCAACTGATGGTCCCAAAATCACTGTTAATAACTGAGGTGCACACTAAGTACATGAACACTGACATCAACGGGTAAAAACTGAAGCTCTACTTAGGACTATATGGCACACGGAAATGGGAAGTGTATGGATTACATTTTATCAGCTTTTGGCTTTTGTC